ATAAGGTCTGTGTGCCTGTAACGTCTCAAAAATTTTGCTTTTTAAGAATTCTGACTGTTTTATTCACATTAGTTAGTTCTGCCTGCTGTTTGTAAGCAATTAGCAGATCACCAGTACCTAAAAAAACTCGCTTATGTAAGTCTGAGGATGTAGTGCAAAGCCAAATTTCAGTGGTTTTTTGGCAAACGTTTTAGGAATAGCTTTATTCAGGCCATCCAAGCAGTGGTGAATTTATTTATTTATGGCTGTCTGGAGTTTCCCAGCAGATGGGGCTCTTGCCCACGGTGCAGCCAGGCAAGCACCCTGCTGTGCAACTGCTGCATATCATTTTCTCTGTGAAGTTTTTGCACTTCAGATCCTTTCAGCAGGCAGGGTAACCTTAACTTGCCTGCATGTGTAACTTGTCCAGGAGCCAAAGCAAGGCTGAGTGTTTGGAGAAATCTCCTCTCCAACTTTCCATGCAGGAGGAATTCCTCCTTATGGGAAAGTATGGCTCTTAAATTTGTTTTTCCTTGGTGGTGTTCTCTGAAATGTTCTTGTCATTGGAATCCTGTAGATATCCTGACATTTGGGTCACTCCCTTTCCCACTGTGCTTAATTTGCAAAATGGAAGAGAGTTTTCCAGTGTTTCTGGACCTGATTAGGAAGACTTGTTTTCTCATCACATAGGGCAACTTACATGTTTCTGATGTGTATTCTTGCTTTCCTTCATTTTCAGCTTTCTCTCTCCCTGAATTTCCTGTGGCCTCACTGACATCTCTTCTAGGACGTGATTTAGAGCTATTTGCTCTGTGCATGTTCCCATAAATCACCACTGTCTAGATGGTAGTTTGCACTCCACGTAAGAAAAGAATTAAAACTGGTAGTAGTAGGGCTAAACTTACACATGCAAGTCTAATTTGAGACAGTAGATTCCAACTGTGTCCTGCCTAGCAGAGTTGGTACAGGCAAGGCATGAAGATAAAACTTAGTCTGGATGGCCTGGTAGAGACATTTTTACATCAAAACCCTTGTGGTTTGCTGAATCTTTGAATTGCCTGCATGTGTGCAGTGACCCTCTTGTCTAGGAGGGAGTGCTATCAGCAGCTAAGAAACATTCCTCGAGCTGGGCCCTCTAGGGGCCCTCATCTCCATCTCATCCCCATCTAGATGGGCTCTCATCTCCATCCAAATTTCATGTGAACGAGCTGGTAGAAGCCTAGTTTGCAGAGCAATAGCCTGGCCTGCGTTAGAGCAGAGTGTGGCTATCCCACAGCTCAGCCCTGGGAATCCACACAATCCCCGCTGCTTTCATGCTGGTGTGAGGAGGGATGAATGGTTGGCGCCTGGCCCAGGTGTATCTGGAGCAGTTACTGGCAGGTTTCTGAAAGCAGAGAGTTCCCCTACGTGTAGAAAATTCCTTTTCAACATCTTCAGCCTATTTTTTCTTTGTTACAGTTCTGCTTACAGACATTAATCTGGCCCTGTGTAATCATCTTTATGGGCTAGGCATATATAATTCCTACATGTCTTGTGTGCATGAGATTATATGTAAATCAAGGGCTCCCTTTTATGTGCACTTAATTTTCTCTGCATGTCAGTGTGGAGATTTTCAACCCTTTGTTCGTTCCTTCCCTCTTTTAATACAGGCTGTAAATTGTGGTGTGGGTTCAAAGCTAAGCTTTTAAACTATAATCTCCAGTGCCATCTTGGGACTTTTCCAGAGATGTGGCTTGCAGGGAGGGCTGCGCGTTCCCCACCCAGCCAGGAAAGTGAGGCCCTGTGGATCTGCTTCTAGTACTGGGCATGGGGCACCACCAGTCACTGTCTAACATTCTGTTTCTGTTTCAGTCTTTTGGTTGCTTCTGGTAAAAATACTTAATCCGTAAAACAAACAGTAGCAACACTGGAATTAGAGAGTGATGGGCTAAGGGGAAGTTCCTGGGCTGTTGCATTTGTAAAGAGGGGTTGTCCTTCATTAGCTGTGAGTTCTTTTGCCAAAAGCCAGCATTGCTTCTGCATGTCCTATGTTGGATAATAACAAAGCAGTAAGTCTTGCCTTTGGGTTGGTTGCTATTTTATTGGAAAAGTAGTTCTGTAAGTGAGAGAAGGCTTGGGTTTTGAGCCCGAAATGCTCAAGCTGCACCTGTAGCCCTGCTGTTTTATTGGCATACCTGCAAGGCAGAGGACCTCTTCATTTCAAAACTGAACTCACCCTGGAGAGACATTTCTTGCATTAAGAAATGAAGGAGAATATCAGTACACCTAAAGTTGGTTACACGTTTTTTGGCTTATCTAATAGTCTGTTCCTATTTCTCTGCTGTAGATTGCTTGCACAACTCTAGATGTGGATCTGGTATGCATAAATGTAACAGAAAAGCTGCCATTCTACTTCCGAAGGCCTCCTGTGAATATGGTAAATTTACATCTAAATTGTTTTCTTGCTGTTAAATTCTGTATTTAATGTCAGTCCGAGTTGAATTCCCTATCATTTCCCTCCCACCATTCCCATCCAAGTGGTTCTTTTATTTTCTTGCATAATGTATAGTGTTGTTTCAGATGTCCTTCACTTCAAGGCCTCCACTGCAGCATTTAATACACAGTGATGTATGTTCTTTCTCTTTCTCCTTCCTGTTGCCCACTTAAGAAGGCAGAAATGGTGTTCCCAAGGAATGGAAACAGAGCCTTAAGGCCACTGCTATGCGAAGCAGTGAGATGTGGTGTGATTGCTGACTAAGCTGCCTCCCAAGCCAGAAGTGGTACAGCTGTGTCAGAATAGATAAACAGCCCTGTGATTTAAAAGACAGGAGAATGTGAATGACAGTGTTAATTTGGGAGAAGGATGCCGTGCCAGTTATTTGGAGGACAACTGTATTGAATCCATACTTAGACAAAGGAATGTCTTGGCAAAAGAACCAAACGTGGAATTGCTAAATATCTGCTGTGGGACACAAGATGGCTATCGCATGGATCAAATATTTTGTTAATACAGTTCTGCCTGCTGTTGGTCGTTTGCCAGAAAGCTTCATCTGAACATGCTCTTAGGTGAACTAGTTTTTTCCTCTAAGTATATGTCAAGGTTCATTCCACATGGGCATTCTTGGCAGATGTCCTTAGCGCTTAAAAATTTAAATTTGGAATTGGCTAGAAATCATACTTCCTCCTCTACAGAAAGTTTGACCTAGAATAAAATTTAAAAATTAAGTAGAATTAATTCTGAAACAAAACAAACCAAAATTAATACTTTGGAATTTACTACAGACTGGGATTTTCAATGTTACGTTTGGAATAACAATTTTGTATGAAGTGTTGTTTGAAAGTACCCTAGCTACCTAAAACTCCCAGCAGCTGACCCAGGTGAAGAGCCCTGTGTTTGGAGACATTTTCCTTACCAGCTACTTCTCAGCTTCCACACTCCCAGCTTCAAGGCAGTCTGTCTGTCAGACTGGTTTTGTGCATCCTCAGGCAGTCAGGTTTGGTTGTTGTGGTGCCAGACAGACAGGTTGGCAGGCAGCTGAAGTGGTGGGGATGAGGTTAAAAATCTGCTTGGCTGGAGATTGGTGCATTGCCATCACCTGTTTTGGTTTTGATAAATTCAGGCTGCTTTTCTTGTTTTACACAGAGCTGGTCCAACATTTGCAAACACTTGGTGTGTACATAGCTTCTGCTGTGCTTGCATGCAGAGGTCATGCATGCATGGGAGCTGGATTAATTCCATCTGTATTCAGTTACTGGCCTTTCTTACAGTATTAGCATTGCAGCATTTTTTAATAATATGAGTATAAAGCATAGAGTAACATTTCAGGCAAATGTAGTATAGGTCAGGGAACAAAGAGCTCCTAGCTTTGAATTGTGTCTTTATTGCTAACTCACTGTGTCCTGTAGCAAATTCCTTAACCTTTCTCTGTGTGTTTGCAAAAACAAAAATACTAGGCTTTTGGTGAGGTGCTTTGACAGATAGCAAACAATTTTAAAGCAGCTTAAAATATATTGAGTATTACTATTTGGAACCTGTCCTGTGGCTCTCTGTTACTTAATATTGTCACAAATACCGAGTATGCTGTGAGATGGGAGAGAAGGGACCTCATCGCTGCTTTTATGCAAGGACAAATTCCTCATCTGCAAAACGTTGGTACTGTGGGAAGCGGTGGTCTTCCTCACAGTAGGCTGTGGGGCTCGAGGAGTAGAGTCCTCAATTTCAAGACTTCTTTCTGACCAGCAGTGGTTACCTGCTTCCTCAACTCTGTGATAGTGGAAAGCCAGTTATGACTAATGAGTGGCTGGTATTTCTTTGTTTGTTAAACCTCATTTATCTCTCATCCCAAGATTCAAGTACACATATCTGGTGTGCAGTGAAATCTTCCCCCCTACCCCTTTCACGCTATGCTATGTTCTTGCTGGAACAATTCTGCCTTAATTTTTTCATATATAACACAGTTAAACTGAGAATAAGCTACATCAATAATAGACAGCAGTTGTTAGATTGTTATGCTTCTCTCCTTTTGATTTTTGATCACTCTTTCATGTGAAGGCAATAGATCGAGGCATTTACTTTGAACTTCTTTACACGCCTGCCATCAAAGACTCCACAATGAGAAGATACACAATTTCAAATGCGATCAGCCTGATGCAGATCTGCAAAGGAAAGGTAAGCTCTCAAAGTGAAAGCAAGCTAATTAATTCAGTTCAAATTCTTCTGGAGTTGTACAGACTGAGCCATTTTAAATGAGTTTGATGCTGGGGTTTCTGAAGCTGTAACTGAATCTTTGCCTGCTAATACAAGGACACAATTATTCTAGCTCCAGATACTTCCAGCCATGCACCACTGCATGCTTTCTTCTTAAGTTGTCAAACTGTTAGATTCTTTTTTCAAAACAATCTATCTGGTATAATCGTATGCAATACCCAAAACAAAAGGAGGGGAAAGAAAGGTGCCAGAGATCTAAGGTTTGCACTAGAACTGAAATCCATGCATGTCTTTAAAAATCTCCATTTCATATTTCTGATGGACCAAAGGCTCTTTTTTTTTTTTTGATTGTTTACCTTGAATATGGGGGGGAGAAAATCATAAGGATGAAAGTAGAAATCTTGTTTTGTTAAACTTAGTAAATTCCAAGTGTACAAAACGGACCAAACAGCTAGCTGGCTGTCAGCCAGGGCTTTATTGCAGTCAGATCAACTGCATTCTTCCCTGCTACTGAAACCTAAGGAAGAAGTAACACTTGCAGCTGAGATGCCTGTAATTCATTGCTTTCATACCTTACCTCCTCCCAGGCTAAGCTGCCTGTCATGCTGGGTCCTCTCAGGCCGTGTTTCTTTTTTTTTTTTTTAACAGGGAAGCATATCGTAATACATATCCAAGTTAAAAGAGATTGTAGCTCCCACCACCCTTATTGGAAACAGCCTTTGCTGCACCGAGCTAGTCCAGAGAAGCCAAAATTGGCATTACCGTGCAGATCTAGTCTGAAGTGGGATATTCAGCTTGGAAGGCCAATTTAAAAGCAGATCTGTCATTACCTCAGTTCCCCTCAGGCATGGCATCCTATTTTATAGGACAGTAGAGTGGGTCAAACAGATTAATTCCCTTAGTGCTACAGAAGAAAGTGAGTGTTTGCATGGCCTTTCCTGAGACGTCCAGCTCTGGGAGTTAGTTGCATGAAATACTCACTTGGAGGTGAAGTACATAACACAATCCCCCTTTCCTTTGGGATTTCTTTTTGCCAGTGCTTCTCTCTTCTGTGCAGCTGAAGATGTGTTTCTCCTGTGGTTGTTGATTTGGAGAGCATCAGTTGAGTTGCATCACAGAACAAGTGAGATGTTTGGGCACTCAGTCTGTGCACAGTGCCCTTTCTTTCTGCGTCTGTCAATCTAGGGCATCATCTGTGCCTGAAAGGTAAATCAGGAGGAGCTGGGCATGACAAATTGTTGTTAGGCACTAGAAGATCTGGGAGAGGACTGCTAGCTTGTCCTTATTTTTTGCCTCCAGACTCAATACCTGGTGGTCCAGCAGAGATGGTTATTAGCCCTCACTGGCACTTTGTCTCCAGACTTTTTTTAACAAGGCGTGGGATGACTGGTCCACAGGCTGCTTGTGGCACGCAGCTCTCGCTTTCTGTAACCTATAGGTGCTGAACTTGTAGTAGCTCTTGGATCCTTTTGTTCCTCCTCCACTATAGTAGGGCAGAGAACCTTCCAGAAATTTAGTGGTGTCCTCAGAGCTGGTGTTGAGCAGAGCCCTTAAAACATGTTAAAATGTGCAGACATTGAGGGAGGGACTCGCCTGCCTTGCCCGGCAGAAGGTGTGCATAGCCACAATCCCTCACCTCCCATGTTTTGGTAACTGAGTGTGGGTACTGTGCCTGAAGCAGCGTACTGAACAGCTGCTGTCTCCTTTACCTGGGGAGATGTTTTGCCTTTGAGTTCTTTCCTTTAGCCCTTCCCTTGGATTTGCCTTTGCCTGCCTCTTTCACTTGCTAGCAGTGCTATTCTTGTCTGCTCTTGTCTCCTTCTCCCATCTTACCCATCCCCTACCTGGAAGCCAGTTGCCTTTGAACCAGGCGGAGCGTATCTCCGATTCACAGCAGTGAACCGCGATCCCGTGCTGGTTCAAGATGGCTTGCACAGCTGCTCTGGGAGCTTCGCTGGGCCTGGGAGACAGGCGCTGGTTGCTAGAGGTCAGAGCAGGAGACTTGACTTTTCCCAGCAAACTCTTGCAGTTGGCACTGCTGAAGCTCAAAAGCACCCTTGGGATCCATAATGCAGTCATTTAAAGGTGAATTATGCAGAAAGAAATGTCCTGGGCTCCATCATGATGTGTGCTGTTAAGTCATTTTGTACGTACTGCTTCTGCTTCTGGCTTTTATGCTAAGGCGAGTTGTCTGTCCCATCCTTTCCTCCTTGACATACGAGGCAACCTTGGGCACAGTGTGAACATGCAGTTGTTTCCATGCAAATAGCTCTTTCACATGTTTAGTGCACAGAGCATTTTCTTCCAGTGTCTGCCTGCCTCCCCTTTGTGCTGGGGAGGTGGCAGGACAAGCAAAGCAGCGCAGTGAAGGGATCAAAAACCCCACCTGGTAACCGGAGGTGGTGTGATGTGTTGGTGGTACTGACGTCAGAGAGGGAAAGTCTTCCGCTGCCTCAGTACAATTCTCATTCCCGCCCACTCAAGCAGGAATTCCCAAAGCCTTTTACTCAGTATAGTAAAAAGTGCGAGGAATTCTTTGCTGCTGCAGTTTCCACCTGTGCAAAACAGTCTCCCCCTGAGTGAGCATCCTTGGAGGATTAACATCAGAAGAGTGCTGTCAGCTGAGCTGTGGTGTCTGCCAGCCCCCGAGCAGTCACGTACCTGTTCTGTAGAAACCCTTTGGGAGAGAAGGCAGAAGGATGTCTCGCTGCCTGGTGATTTTCATGGGGGTGCCAGCGTTGAGGGAAACGACCGTATGGCATGAATTGGCAGCCACTGCCTAGCTGCAGGCAGGTTTCCCTTACCAGTGTGAGTTTGGTAAAGGCCAACATGAATACTAAGGTGAGGGTTGAGCTGTACCACAACACAGAGAGCAGGCTGAAAATTCAGGACCACCAAGCTGTCTAAAGACACTATATGTAAGCTGCTTCTGGGGGATCCTGGACTCCTATTCTACATCCATTTCTCTTACAGCTCAGGCCAAGTTGTCATTTTTGTGGGGCCTCTTTCAGCTAGTGTCATTAAAGGGGACACTTCTTTACACAGTGGTGCAACTCTGTATTCCTTCTTTACCCTTAAGATCCCTTTAAAGTCTGCTATGAGAGAAACAGGTTGATAGGTGCTTGCTTAATGCCATCACTGACATACTGCTTAGCCTGTTCCTCTAAAAGGTGTGGCGCTTATTCAGCTCACATCTGTCTGGGAGAGCTTTGTAACTGCAAGGGAGGGCTTCAACCTGTGCCCCTGTCTCTGTAGGGGACAGGGAAATAACCTGCATTTATTCATCTCCCCAAATGAAGATCTACATCCTGTTAAGAGTTCGCTTCATCTGAGGGCATCAGATACTCTGATGGTTAATTGGGCTCTGAGCCTGAACTTAGCTAATGCTCATAAAGTCTTTGCTGCTTGCTGATTTTATTTTTTTTTTGTTCCATTTCTTAATGCTGTCTGACAGATGAACGTTTGTTCTCTTTTGTTTTCCAGAACATTGTTATATCTAGTGCAGCTGAAAGGGTAAGTCCTAGATTTTTGTTGAAGTCAGAACAATTTGAGGATTTATCTGTGGCTGAAAATACCTTTTTAATTATATATTAAACATGCGACAATTGTAATTTTAAATATGATAGCCATCGTGTGAGGTTTTTTAATCCATTTGTTTTACCAAAGAATTGCATTGTGGGGTTTGGGTGGGTTTTTTTTGTTTGGTTGGGTGGGGTTGGTTTTTTTGCTGCTGTAGTATTTTCCATGACAGTTTTGTCACAGATGGGGACTGTTTTCCAAAATAGTAGTATTTGCTTGATTTCCTGATGCATCTTCAGCAGCTTGCTATTATGTAGCATTTAATCTTGCCTCCCTGATTGCCCGGTCCTGCCTGCTCACACTGTCGGCCTGGGAGAGAATGCCTGCACGTATTCAACCTTCTTTGTTTTGTTTTAGCCTCTGGAACTACGAGGTCCTTACGACGTGGCTAATCTGTATCCTTTTTCTAAGTCGAAGACAGCAATTAATAGTAACATGTGAAAGTTCGAAGTGTTTTTTTAATACTTCCATCCTTTACGCTCCTTGAACATTACACAGTGATGCTTGTTGGTGACTAATTCAGTGAATCAGGGCTCTGAGTGGGTGTGGAAGGAACAACAGATCTTGGTCATGGGGTGGCACAAGCAGTCACTGGAAATAGTAATGTCTGTGTTCAGTTACAGGTATGTTTTGTTGTGATATGCATTGATATTGTGTGGATGTAAGTGGAGAAATAGATAAAAACCTTAAAAATCTGTGGACACTCTGAACCAAACCAGAAATTATTACTTCAGATCTCCAAGGTGCCACATCTTTGGTAGAAGAAGCTATAAAATCATATTTATGTCAAGAAAGAAAACGTTCCTATCTGAGTGCTGGTTACTTCTGTTCTGGATTTTCCAGTCCTTAGTTACATATGTGCTGTTAAATAAGTGGTTGTGTTCTAGAAACCAAGGAGAGTGTCTTTTCTCCTCTTCTTTTAGGAATTCAGATGCATTTTTACTACTCCCTCCTCCCCACCCCACAAGCATGTATCTGGACTGTCCCTCGAAGGGAGGAGCATGCTCTGAGTCGTGAGAACCGTGTAGGAGGGTGTGCAGCCTGGAAGGATTTTATGCACAATCTTTCCTTCCCTCTTAAAAAGAGCAGTCAGGCTCAGCCCAAATTAACATACCTAATCCGGTGACATCCCTGCTCAAGGTGGCTGGAAACTTTTCAGCATAATGCTTTTGTATCAGACAGTGACCTTTCCCCAAAACTGAAATTTTCAACGGGGTCATTTTTTTACATGATTATGCATATAAAATTGTTCCTGTGTTGACAGACTCTTATTTTCAAAATTACAGCTTCATGTCTGGAAAAAAGCAACGTTGCCAGGAGCTTTCCAGGAGGGCTGCTGGGGAACTGCAGCCAGGAGAATTGGGTGCCTCTGGGTAACCTTATGCAAAATGTCACTTTGAGTTACAGCTCTGCTAATTCCCAGTTATTTGTAGAGTAAGCAAACCTATCATGCAGACAGACTTCCCTATTCTGTTCGTTCCTTTCTGTGTGTTTTGATCCTGAACAAAGGTGACAGAGGTTTGCTGTTTGGCCTGTCGGAAAGCGAAGCCAAGGCAGCCGTGTCTACCAACTGCAGAGCCGCCATGCTTCATGGAGGTAAGCAAGAAGTACGCACAAACTCATCTAAGTAACGCTTGCATCTGTTAAACTAAGTTCATGCTAATGCATATTTCCCAAAAGGTCCAGGACCTTACAGAGTAAATCAGCTTGGGATTTTAGCTTCCTTGTCTGGTGCATGAAAAGGACCTTGTGCAGCAAGGGTGTTTTATTTTCCCCTGTTGCCATGTTAGCAAATCAGTGGCTGAGCTGATGGTGCCATCTGTACTGGAGTACTTGTTTAACCACATTAACAAGTCATAAACTGTTTAGCCAAAACACAGTTCTGCCTGTTGTGCTTTGTAGTGAAACTCTCCCTTGTTTTTGGAAGGGTTGAACGCCGGTCTTGGTGACACCAGCAGAAACTATGTTACTGACTTCGAGAAAACTGGGATATGTGTGTTTTGCATTTCCCCTCTTGCAGCATGAATGCAGAAGCAACCTTTGCCGTGTCCCTTTCTGATCCTTCATTATGTGGTCTATTTCTGACTCTCTCTTCAGCATGGACCATTTCAAACTTGATGCAAAATCAAATACCCTGAGTGCTTGCTGCGTAGAAAAAAATGTTTCATATAGTATACGATGGCTTGAAGTGTTTTGGTGAAACAAAACTTGCTTCCTTATGTTCTTAGCAGAGGCAGCTCACAGTAGTTCTCTTCTACTTGCTCATTTTTAATATTAAGAAAGTAGGGATCTGTCTTGTGGCCCCCCGCACTGGAAATCGAAAGGTCTCCGGTTGTATTTTGTGTACTGGTTGTCAGTGCAGCAGAGATGCTGCAGTTTGTGTTCCAGCGATCACTGTAGCACCAGTTTCTCCATCCCTACCCTCCCTTTCACATGCTTATTTATTGGTTCTTAGTGTTTCTTGATTTTCGTTGTTTGTTCTGATGGCAGTTTAACTTTGTGACTCAGTAGTCACATCTAGCTCTTAATTTCTGCCTCTGTCAAGGTTTGTTGGGTAGGTATGATTTCTAGTCACCTTCCCAACAACTTGAGTTGCTCTAAGTTTGAAACGCACAGTAGGATTTGGTTTGCATCTCTTGTTTCAGTAGAGGTAGGGCTTGAACCTGCTGTAATTCACAGCAGGTAGCTTTGATCCCTTAGAGATGGTGTTTCTGTGAACAGGGTCCTCCTCCGGCCTGCTGCTCATCTACATGAAGACAGTGTGTTGGAAGAATTTTTGTCAAGTTTATGTGGAATTTCTCAAGACCATCATCTATCTTACCTGTGAAATTAAATAGCAGATGTCATTTCCCTGTCCGCCAAAGAATACTAATCCAGAATAAGTTGATGTATTTTGGCAAGGTTCTTGCAGAGCCTCCTTGCTAACAGAGTATTTGTAGGGAATCTCTTCTAATTCAAATTTTGCAGAGAAGCCTCCCACTAGTAGTTCTGAAATTGGTTTGGGCTCACTAGGCTGTTTGGCAAACATATGAGGAGTTCGATAACATCACATGGTAGTATTTTATGGTAATGCTGAAGCTTCTGAAAATAAAATATTCTTGAATACCATGAAGTCACTTATTTGGTGTCTATAGGGGAGCCTCTGCCAGTATAGCTGTGCCAGCATAGCCTGTTTAAGAATTCTGGGCTATGTGAATACATTTTTAATATTTTTTTAAGAACAGTATGTTTTGCTCAGAAATGCAGAAATGCTTTTGCCAATGCTTCAAGAATGTGTCCTTCTGTGACTGTTGAACTGATTAAGCCTAGTTTCCTATGGTTTTGTGTCTGCAGCCCCTCAACCCCTGCAGAACTCAGTTTTCCCTTAGGTTTCCTGTAATTCTATACCTACTATCGGATTTCCCCCTTCAGTTTCCCCACCCCATAAGGCAGTGTATCCACAACTCCTGCCCGTGCAGGTGGTTTACCTGCTGTGTGTGCTGACTGGCTGTCTCTTAAGCATGTTGAACTGCGCTTTGGGGCACGGGCACCTGAAATAAGCAGGCATTAAATGCATTAGTGTAATTTTATTTGAGGTACTACAGCTTCTGCTTGTATATTCCAGAAACTCGGAAGAGTGCCTGTGGGGTAGTGTACACAGTGAAGAAGCCTCGCAAGGTTGAGGAGGAAGAAACAACACTGCCTGCGTGCAAGAAAGCTAAGACTCAAGCTTGAGAACTGAACCAATTGTTAACAGGGGCCTCCATCCCATCTCTACCCAGTGTTGAGTCTTCCCTAATCGTCCAGCTAGCCCAGTTTCTCCTTTATTACTTTATTTAGCCTGGAGAATTATTCTTCTGGTGTTCAAGTGAGGAAGGCTGTGGGAATGATTCTGCTGAATGGTAGTTCACCATATCTGAAAGGTCATGCTGGACTTCCGGTCAAGGTCAGGAGACCATCTCTCCACCCTGCCTTAGGTCTTCTGGAGTCAGTGCAAACTCAACACAACGTTTCTAACATACAGAAGTTTTCAGTTGTACAAGTGCATTCCTTTTTTATTAAAAATGTTTCTAAGAACGCAAAGTCTAGCTCTTATGATTTCTCAAGTTTTAAACACATCTCTGTACTAAACCTTACAACTGCAAGCCAGTAGATGAAGTCTACTTTCAATGGTCTGTGAAGAGTAATGGTGCAGTGAAAAGAAAATGATGCTTCCCATTCTGTTTTGTGATCAATGGTTGTAAAGAAGATTCCCAGCATCTGTCACTTACTAGGAGATACCTTGGATTTGTGTTACAGTAGGACTGACTGACCTGACCTGCTAGACGCACATCCCAAAGGCCATCCCTGTCCTGCAGCTTTTAAAACCAAACAGTAACATGAGATGGTTACCACAGACAGGAAGGAAGAGCCCAAGGTTACACAGAATGTGTGTTCAGCATGGTGTGCTGCAGTTGCAGTGTAACAGCTGTCTTGCCTTGGCCTCAGCAGTCTCCACGTCACATCATTTTTACTGCATCATTTCCTTCTTTATGTCCTGGTCTGGCAGTGTTGCCTATGAGAGTGTGCATTTTGCCGCCTCCTGCCTTTCCGTTTTCCTCCCTGTTAATGCCTCAGTAAACCTAATCTGGCTGCCAAAAAAGCAATCATGACAGATTTATAATCAGCAGAGCATTTTCAGAGCTCTTCCAAATGTTGACTGAAGTTTTTCTTTTGATTAAACCAATATAAAAATTATGTAAGCTGCTGTACTCAAGATACTCTTGAGCCAGCTTTACTGTGAATATTCCAGTTCCCTATTTGCATTGACAACAAATTGATAAGTGGAAGTTATAGCACCTGAACTATTGCAGAAATCTTGCAGTGGGTCTTCTCTGAGCTCTTAGTAACCAGACTGAGCAGAATGGATGAAATTCTCAGTAGACTGAGTTCTGTATAATGCTGGTGTAAGTCACAACAGCTATTGCTTCATTCAACAAATAATGAAATATTTTTCATTTATGTTATTATTTTACTTGTTGACTTTGATTTGAGTGTTTTATTATAGCTATTGGGATTTAATATATATATACACGCACACAGTTTTTTGTCATTTATGGACTGATGTCCAAAATGATGCTCTACTGAGAGAAGCAGCAGGTGTTTGTCTGGTGCTATTTTTTGAATGACACATTCTTTTTCCTCGGGTGGAGAATAACCTACCTTGAGTTGTTTAGTAACTAGCATATGGAAAGAGGCTTTTGAATGTTAAAGACCCTACTTGCTACTTGTTCGACATGATTTTTAAAATTTACAGTCTGCATCTTTGCCCTTTAAGGAGATACAGTGCTTCAGGAACCAATAGAAAAGTTTCTTCTCCCTCAGTTTCCTGCAGCATGTTGTTCTGGCTGCTTTGGTGCCTGAACGATGGAACTGTTTCTCGGTTAGGGTGATAAACAGACTGAGTTAGCCAGCACTGATGTCATTTCTATTTCCTGCAAGGCATGCTCCCAGTGTCCGGGTAATTGTGCAGAAACAAGTAGTGGCTTGCAGAGAAGGGCAGCGAGCGGAGGTGTGCCATAATTTTTACGGAGAAGGGTGTGTTCACAAATAAAGCCTATGGCTGGCAAGGTGACACTCGTGAGTTACGGTGCTTCTGTGAGAAAAGCCTCATCTGTCTAAAGCTGTTGGCCTCCATCTAGGATAGCTGGCTGCAGACAGAATAGGTGTTTCTTCTGCTTGCTCCTCTGTGGGGTTTCTGTAAATTCACTTAGTCTCCAAAATTGGCACTCCAGTAGCAACTATTCATCGCTGCTCGTTCCTGACCCCACTTCATTGCCCAGGAGATTGCTTTGGCCAGCCTGTAAAGCCTGTTGGCTAGAGGCCAACTGGCGTGGGTTAGTGAAGGTGTGTGGGAGCCTGTGGTGTATTTTGCTGGGAGGCTGTGCTGTGGGACATTAGGATATTAACTGAATGCAGCCTGTAACGTCCCCGTGAAATTGGACATTGATGCTGCTGTCGGCAGTTAAGATTGTTCTGCTTCTGCTAAAGCGAAGGGAGAGGTGCCTGCCTTTCCTAGCAGGACTCGGCATCTCCCTTGGCTTGGATAGCTGAGGCTGTCTCATGCGCTCCACATAGTAAGTACTGACTGGCTGAGAAACTGGGATTTAAAATCAATCTCAGTAATAAAACTGTAACTTTGATTTACCAGCTACTCAAATACTGTCTTTTTGCTTTTGTGTATGTGTTTCCATTTAACAAAATAAGTAAGAGATGACATTTATCTACCAGCGGCAGGGAGGTAGCTTAAGGGCTCGCTGCTCCAGGCGGCTGAGACTCTTTTGAGTTTTAAAGAATTTTACAGAGGCCCAGATGTGAACTTTCTTTAAAGAGAGACGGCATTACCCTGTGCATGCTCACCACTTCATAATCCACTCCAGCAAATAAAAAGAACCACTCTGTTTATTTAATCTGAAACAGATCAGTACAAAATGTACAGAAAAAGCAGTACAAATTTACAAATATACATAATCTGGTTTTGCATTCTTCAATCGTCTGACTTCGTAGTAGTCTAGCTTAAAAAAAAATTCACATTCTTGATACTGTCTTCTCTCACCTTCATAACATTGCATCTCAATCCCACAGCCCAAACGGTTACATGGTGGTTGGAGCTCTGTCCTCGAGTTCTTTATCCACCATGATTGCCAAACCCTGCGTAAACCCCATTACTCAACTGCTTCTTTAAATCCACTTGGCACCTCAGTACACCTTCTTCCCTTGCTCTTCCACATATCACCACTCGCTTAATGTATTATTTTAATAGTGAGAATTTGGCAGAGACAAGGCAACAGTTGCGAGTATTTGCTATTTAGAGCTATTGGAAGGCTTGAGGGAAGTTGCTAATGAAATTGGAAATACTGCCACCTAAGACAAAAGGATTTATGTTGCTGGCAAAGATTGCATTAGGATGTAAAGCTCTATTAAAAAAAGCTGCGATAACATTGAAAATAATTTAAAATGACCTTTTAAATAAATAAATAATAAATAGTAATAAATAAAGCCATTTGAAAAGCAGTGGAATTTTAACACTCAACCTGCCTTTAAAAATAATTTATCTGTCTGCGTGTTTGTTTTGCAGTGTTCAGTGCAGGTACTTCAAATAATCCAGTACCATAAATATTTTCAATAAAAATACTATATTCAGGGCTATTTCCCTCCAGGTTCATATGAAGCGTTTAAAAGCAGCAAAAAGAGGGCAGTCTGGTTTCTCCCTTCAGCGCTTGCCTAGATGGACGCTCTTATAGGAATTGTCTTTCAGGCTGTTGAAGATCTCTTTGGTGCCGTTCTGCCACTGAAGAACAAGATCCATAGGGGTTTTCCCTTGCTGGTTAAAAAAGCAGAGGAAAGAAGATTTAATCTCAGCCAGTGAATACGGAGTCCTTCGTTCTTCCCTGAATGTTTGCACAGTGCATTTGTCCGATGTGAGACCCTTCTGCACGCACAAGGTCAGACTTACTCTTGTCCCCCTGAGATCAGAGTCCTTGTGCTCTACGGAGCAGTCCCTTGCTGCTCAGGCTCACGACGAAATCTCCCTGCGCTTCAGTGGGTCGAAGCCATATTAGCAAATACCGTGACTGGCAGAGCACGCAGGTGTTTCTTTTGATCTCATTTAAACTGATTAGAAATACATTTAGATGAAACCTCAATAAGCCACTCTTGTATTTAATTGAGAATTCAGAGAAGAGTTTATACTGGTTTAATTAGGTTATGAACCACATCTAAATTAAACAGGAGCAACTCCTGTGTGCAGACAAAGCCTGAGAGAGCAGGTCTTTGACCTTTGGGGCTGTACCTTTCATCGTTTCCGTACCCTGATGAGGGATAATGACGAGTGCGGGCAGAGTAGGGAGTGCGAAGTGCTGCAGTGACTAGTTTTTTCCTTGCCCTCTTAAATTCTGATTGATTGCCCATCATAAGCATTGACTGGCATTGGTAAAACTCACTGTCCGTCCCACCGCTGCTTGGTTTGGGTTCAGGGGAGAGGAGGCTGTGATACGCTGTATTTTAACAACTGGTCGCAGAGCTCCAGCAACGCATCTGCTGCTGCTGCGGTGGCTGAGAGCAAGAAGTCAGGTGCGGGGCTTCTAAATTGAAGCTCTGCTGAGCCACGGGGATTTGTTGCCCAACGGTCAGGTTAACAGCCAGTCGTCCAGGCAGAGCGCTTGGGCTCGCCGTTGGCTCTGCACTTAACAGAAAGGAACTTTCTCTGACAAGCCAAGATGTTCTTTCTTGTCTGAGTGGAAGCCCAGGAGCTGGGCGGAGAGCGTCTCTATCTGTACATCTTTTCAATACAAGCTACGTGTAATTAACTTACAGAAAGATGTGATGTTTTAAGCTGCAGCTCATGAGTTCTGGTTTTAGAGGAAGTACTGGTTTTTCCTCTTTTTTCTGACCTCCCCCAAGTTATCCTTTCCCTATGTCAGCTCTGCTTTAATTAACTCTGAAATGATCTAATTAAGTTTGTCTCTTCTGGCCTTGAAACCTATGAAACTGCTCTGAAGGCAAACTTATTCTAAAGCCGTTTGAATTACTGCATTTTTTTGCTGGTACTTACGCAGTTCTTTATAGTTAGATCTGCTCCGTACGTCTGTCTCCTTCCTAGAGGCAAGAGACACGGACCACGGCATCAGTCCCCCGGGTCCAGCACTGCAGTGCGGCCCCAGCCTCATCGCCGGGGATTTTTACAGGCGTGGAATTATCGATGCGGACAGCAGCTTGATGCTACCTGAGAGCCGATGGGTAAGAAGCTGTTGGTACTTACTCTGTCCCTGGCATTGAGATCTGCTTCACAGGCGATGAGGTGCTCCCCACAGTCGTACTGACCCGTTCGCACGGCCACGTGCAATGGGGTGCTGAGCAGCTGTGAGGGGGGAGGAGGAAGCGGTCAGTGGCACAGAACACGTAAAGACCGCTTTGAGAACGGCCGCCAAAAATTAGCTACCTGGAGTAAGGGTCAGCTTTTCATCTGCAGTTTCAGAAGCTGCAGAGTCCCAGAAGCACGTACCTTGTCTCTTGCGTTTCTGTTTATCCCTTTGTCCAGTAAGAATTTCAGAACATCCAGGTTCCCCCCCCGGCATGCCCAGTGCAGGGCTGTAGATTCAAGCTGCAGCAGGAAAAACAAATGGAAAGTAATTTAATTCATCGTTCTGTTTTTAAAAAAAAATTAAACCATTTGGATCAAATTTCTAAATTAATCCAAAATAATTTTTGCGCAATTTTATCTAAAGCACTTCATTGTGAACACTGAGTTGTTTCTAGTAACAGCTTTCCTTATTTTGCCCTAATTTCTTTAGTACTGTGAGTTTCTCACTCTTCACACTTGCTGCATATTGCTCTTAAAGACAGAGATCTTGGCACCGCTGCTGTGAGAGAAGATGTGTGTTGTCTGTTCTGTGAACTTAGCCAGGTACATGGCTGGTATGTGCTAGTTAATATTCTTTACTTGATGCCTTTTGGGTTCTAAAATGCATAGTAAAAGAAGCTCAAGGGAAAGAATAGTTCTTTTAAAAAAACAAACCCAAACTTATGCAGGTCGGCAAAGTGTATTAGAACCCTTTTCCTCTAGGATTCGGTTTCTCTGCCCTCAGCTCTGCTGGGAGGGGTGGAACGTCCCTTGAAGGTCTCTCTCTCTGCCTGCCTTCCTCCTGTTTCCTACGCTACCCATGAGCACTGCTGGGTTAAGCGAGGGGGAGCAAGGCTGGCTGCTTCCCGCTGTTCAGCAAAGGGATGAAGAACTGGGAGCGGAGAAGCAAAAAAACAGCTGCAGAAAGCGTTGATACTGGGCTGCCCTCGTGGCTGGCATTCGAGGGGAGCCGGGGGTCTCTCCCGAGCGCAGCCTTGAAATCACGGTGGAGAATGTAATGTGTTGCGCAGAGCCCTGGGCACACGCGTGGGACGGCGGTATCCCACCACCTGCTCGCAGGGTGAAGCGGTAGCCTGACCTCAGCCATCTCACCCTACGTGAGGCTCTGCTGTTTGTGGCATTCTGCTGGCCAGCGGGCTCCTCTGCTGCCCATGTTTTCCAGCTACCGCTTTGGCAAGGGGAGGCACACACCCCCCTGAAACCCCTTCTCAATAGTGTGATTTTAAGGATAAAGTTGCGAGACACTGTAAAGCCTTTTAATGCTCCTCTTCTATAAGAAGCACTTCTATAGGTGCTTCTCTGGGCACTTATAAACCAATGAGCATTTTTTTTAAAGGAGTGTGAGTTGATGCACATACCATGTCTTTCTGTTCAAGCTGGGCTCCAGCTTCCACCAATTTTTTCACCACCTCTAGATGTCCTTCAGAGCATGCCCTGTGCAATGCAGTGCGTTTGTACTGGCAATTAAAACAGTGCAAAGTCAGATATTATGTATGGCACAAAAAGATATCTTTAAATCTTTTCTCCCCGCCTCCATAGGATGATGGCAAATACATACATTCTGCTGATTCATTTTCAAGATCTAATACTTTTGAGACCTGAAATCTGCTAAATTTTAATAGGGTCCTGACAGCTAAGAGCTGCCTACCCAGCATTTTAAAGGGTGTGAGAAAAATCTGCAGTGTGGCATTCAAATTTAAAATGATGCCTGTTGAGTTGCCCCATCCAACACGCTACGCTGCATTTTGCAAATGCAGCTTATGCATTATGGAGTACGAGGGCAGGCAGCATCGCCGCCTTCGTCGTTCTGCAGACAAATTTCTTGTCTGTTCATCTGCAGTGCTGGAAGACCACCTGTTACAGAAAATCAGGGTCTCCTAGGCACCAACAGCTTGCTTTCAAATGTAAAGATTCTTTTGAGGTAATATTACTTTGAAGGGTCACAGTGACCCCTTTACCACTAGAAAACTTGATATACCAAACTCCCAACATTTACTTACTTTCCCCCCACCCTTTTTTCTCCTCAGAAGTGTGGAAGCTACAAAACCTAGTGGTAAAAGTTATTTTTGCTCTGTAATAACCTCTCTTCTGTAGCAGGCTTTGCAGTAAGAAGGAAGATTGTACCTCATCACAGACATTTGGATCCCCTTTGTCTGACAGGTATTTTTCAATTACTGGCAACTTATTCTCCAGTGCAGCTCTAAAGAACGTGGGTACATCCACTGGTCCTGTCTGATGGAAAGAAATATACAGGGCATAAACGTGTGTGGCGCAAAGCCCCATCAATTCTTCCCCAGAAGAAGGTACTTTGAAATAACTTACAATAACTTCTGGTTCAGGTTCCTTTATAACGGGCGCTTTCACTTTCTTGCATTTTTTCTTCTTCTTCAGCTGAATAATTTTTTCAAGATCCTCCAAGTTTTCAAGTTTTGACCTCTGCTCTAATTTCTTCTTCTTCAGCTGAAACAAATCAGGGATGGCCACAAGCTGAGCTGAGTGTGACCACCCCTCCCTTCAGAGTGGCAGGACAGCGTGTGCCACAGCTGAGTTCAGTTAAGACTGGATGAACTTTGAAAAAAGTTGTCTTTTTTTTTTTTACAGCTCGGGCTAGTTGACCATTAGCAAAGTTACTAAGCACGTGAGAAATTCTACGTCATCTATAGTTTTTTATACACCATTGGACCTCTTCCTAGATGCTGCTTTGGGCATATGTTGTGGGATATAGAGCGTGAATTTTTGGTCTGTATTAGGCCAGGAGTCAGAGCAGCACTGCAGTCCCTTCTGGCCCAACAATTTAAGGAACCTCATGTGCAGCTTATCAGAGCAGGAAAGCCCCTGCAGTTTTAGCTGACTTCCACCAAGCGCTTTTTCTTCAACCACTTTTATGACACAGCCCCTGTTTTATTGTAACTTAATCCTCTTTGATGAAAAATATACCCTTAAGTGAAGAGTAAGGTTTATACCAATCTTAGCATTTCAGTTAGCAAGTGTAACATTTTGGTAAACTACAAAGAATGTCCCCAGTATCCTTGAAAGAGCAGTTCAATAAATATTTAAGACTTCTTCAAGCCTGCTTGTAAAAAGCATCCCTGCATGAAGGCAGTATGGGGCACTGCTAACATCAAGGGCAAATGTGTTGCCTGAGCTGAGGGCCAAGATCCCAGGAACCATGAGTGCCCCTGACTTCAGAAGGGGAATTCGCAAACAAGGGGTAACTCAGGGTGAATACAGATGACAGAATCTGTCCCATGGTATCATTAAGAGTAAATACATCAGTGAGACCCTATCCCATGGTATACATTTTTTTCAACTGAGTTCTTATTCAAGTTATTTTCACCTCTTCTTTCTATTGATCTCTACATTTAGAGTTTGATGTGTAGATCATTGACTTAATGGAAAATAATTATGTTGGCTGAGTGGACTGCGGATCAACTGGAAACCCAAAAAGTTGTGAGGACCCAGTTTTGGAGGAACTCAAAAAAAAGCTGTAGCAAGTAATGATCTCTGTGTTGAAGGTGAAGGTCAATAGTGTTTATTTTAATATTCCTGAGGCTGACTTTCCCACCCTTCTTTTTTCAGAACAAAGTCTTACGCTCCCTGCTAGTTAAACTTTTTCATTCCCAAATCACTTTAAATTTTAGGCCAGTTGGTTGTTTATTCACCAAAGAATTTATGATGTTACAGCTGCTGTATTTTGAGGGGAAAAAAATCATCGGTTCTTAGGGATATAGGGAGAATTGTCATGCTCCAGGAATACAAAATGGTACTTTTCTGTAGACCAGTATCACTTTCATTTGTAATTATTTTTCCCAAATGTGCTATTAAGCATAATGCAGTGTTTTCATAAAAAGAACATTTTCATGGTAGGTAAGGCTTCTGGCTTCAGAAATGCATTCTTACATCTTTCTTGGGTTAGTTATTTTTGGTGGCAGTCCGTAGGTGTGCAAGCTGAAGGTGTCTTACTGGCTATGCTTGCCCCCCCCGTTACTGACAGCTAGCGGCAGGTGACTCTGGGCGAGAGGAGCCCCCAGGATTTCGGTCAGACATTATAGGGGGAGTATTGGGTTCTGCTTCACAGCGTTACTGCCTGCATCCATAGGCCACAGGAGCCAGCAGATGTCCGTGGCCTTCAATGGACTTCAGACCAACCTCCTTTGGTGGTGATCTCCCAAGGGTTGATCTAGCTCACCATGTACATATTTCTAACTTAGAAAGAGGGAAAACTTCAAGGGCTGCAGCAGAAAACGCACAGGGGATGATAAAAAGCCAAGCACAAAACCCAAGAGCCTACCTCTGCTTCTAGTTTTTTCTCCTTCTCATAAGCCAGATCACCTCGGGTCAGTGAGTGTTCAGAGACTGTCTTCAGGTCCTCTTGCTTCTCTAATCTTACAGCAGCTTCATACTCTCCATTTTTGAAGTCCTCAGGGAGGAAGCTGCCAGTCTCTTTATCGTCAGCTTTCTTCCCTGTCACCTGTAAAAGCAAACGTGATCTAATATAAGCAGCAGTTTCATGACTGCAGTAGCTGCCCCCTGGGAACATAGATTACCTGGAGGCTAATTACATGTCACTCCTGTCCTGCTCTAGAAGAGTGTGACAGACAGAGTGCAGACCTCATTCAGCCCGTGCCCGGATTGACTGTGCACGCGAATGGCTCGAGCTGTCTCGCTTGTAGGTACATCTCCCACAGCCACACAGCGGTCCCCCCTCGCCATCTTCAGGGATTGGGTCAAGATCATGAGACCACCTCACAGTCTGACTCCCTGCTTGGCTGGGGCCGAGGTGCTGCTGGACTGACAAAAGCCAGTGAGTGGGGAAGAGTATCTTTTTTTGGTTCTTTGTTCACTCGCCAGCACGTGTCAGAGTCTTCAGAAGGCTGTAAAAGGCTGTGGTGGAAAGCGGCACCCCGACCAGCCACCAGCACCCTGCGAGTGCTGAGCAGGGGGACAGAGCAGGTAGAGTGGGAGGAGGGCTTTTCTCCCTCGGGACCTTACAGTTTCATTGAAATGCATCCAAATGCAGTTAAATCGGGTTGCTGAGTAATTTCAAGGCTGGTTTTACCCATCACTGTCCGTACCAAAGTCCCCATTTATAGCACTCAGCAAAACAGCAGAAGGTAGTTCCTGCGCAGAAGCTCTGTGATGCTGTGCAGCAGCACAGCTTTCAACAGCGTTCGGAAATACTTCTGATGCTCAATTAAGTGTGTACGAAGAGATAACTTGTTAAACTTAGTAGAGGCTGTTGTGTATTTTGAGAGTGGTTCAGTAAATTCCTGTGTCCTAGACTGCCTTCCATTCAATCACCCTGTAAAATTGTCTTTGTTATGGAGTTTAACACTAGAGAGACTGCCAGGGCCTTGCCAAATAATTTAAGACAGCATTAACTAGTTAGGCTGTGTGGCCGTTGTATCTTAACATAGCCATCAGGGGAAAAAAGTGGTTTCTGTATGATATTCCAATGTTTTACTGAATCATTCCTGTTTTCTCAGTTTGTTGATCAAAATAGGCATTCTTAGTCCGCACACTACAGTGGAATCTCCCATTACTTGTGGTCTAGTTTAGACATTAGTTTTCAAAGACTTCTTATGCCATGAACAGCAGTGAGTGTAGGAACTATTAGTTTATTATTAGAAAATAATACTTATTAATAAACTGTTATTTTAGATTTGGAAAATACTTTGGTTTCTCTGCATTGGTACCTCCTCCCAGTCCTTTACTGGATTGGAATTACTCAGTGTGATCATAAACTTAATAGCTTCTAAAAAAATAAAAATGAAACTCAAGGTCAAAGGAAAATACATAGGTAAATTTTGGTCAGTCTGTTCTTCCTGGTGAGCTATGTTCTGATGCAAAACCCTAACAGCTGTGTAGTTGTATCAGTGGTGAGCCCCCTTCCCAAGGAAACGTTAAAGTGAGAATACAGTAGGATAACCTATAGCATGTCGAGGTTTTGCACCTGGAGCACAGCAGTGCTGGTAACCTGCAAGATCACCTCAATGGTCCCCAAAGGTTGTCTCTTTTTGCCTGGTATAATGACAGTCTAGGAAGAAAAGTAATTATGAATAAATGAAAGGAGGTTGTACCTACCAGGTCTTCTACTTTCATCACCATCATATTTGCCAGCGTTTGAAGGTTGTACTCCTGTATGGCTGAAAGTCCCAAGCGCTCAAGCCGGCTCTGCAGGGACCACCACGCCAGCTTTGCTTATATATCTTTGGGAGAACGGCGCTTGAATGAGATAATCTTCCAACCTGGGAATCCAAGTATGCCCCTCGGGCTTGCCAGCTGAGAGGTAGGCTCGCGCTCATTCCAGACATGTTAACGAGCCAGATCTGGTGTCGAGGCAGGGAGGGGGGCGTCAGTTGGGCGAGGAAGGGTGAGCCTCACAGTCTGACCACACCGAGTATGTGAATCGGAATGAAATGTGACCTCATCATTCCTTTGGCAATGACTGCACGGCTCAGCAATGCAAGTCATTCTGCGTTCCCAGTGCCCACTAGGACAGCTGTCTGTTGATATAGCATTATAACTTCATCTTCTTTTTTTTTTTTTTAATTTTTTTTTTAAAACTGACAGTCAGATGACTGTAAGACACTGCAAAGGGTAAGTGGCTTACGTACAATACTTGTAGTAATATCTTCCTGATAAGTGGATTATGACCCCTTAAGTCTCGGAAAGCCATTCTTTTCATTGCTATTTATTCTTGGGTGATAAACAGTTTTAGGGGAAAGGATTTTTCTCATCATGATGGCAGTCTTCTATATTTGTTGGAAGGAATTCTCTGAAGGGATTACTAAGCCAGAATGATGTCTCTGGTGCTAAAAGGGCCTATGACGTGATAAGTTACAATCAGTGTAAGATCTCAGAACAGCAAACTTTGCATTTTTCTGGGACTTTGTCAGTGATCATAAGCAGAATAATAAATTAGGTCCTATTATGCCGAGAAAAGGTAAAACTAATACTGTTTTCTCGGGCAAGATTTTCCTTTTGCGTGTGAGAGAATAGGGGCACAGAAGTGATTTTTTCATTTTTGGAGATACAATGTGATACAGACAAACATACACAGATGATGTGCGTGTTTTGGGGAAAAGGAGTTATTGAGTCCTTTGGAAAAGCTTTTCTTGTGCCGTGAATCGGAGTAGCCTGAAAGCAGGAGAATGCATACCAGCAGAAGGCAATTTTATAAAAGGAAGATGTACTAATATTTGCGTTCAAAGAGTGTGGATAAATGCCAAGAAAAATCAGTTCTGCCATTCTGCAATGCTTGGAGCTCCTGTCTAGTGAGGTATAAGCCTGGCTGTAGGCACCCAGGTCACCTGGCTGAAATGAATACAACTGCTCAGGTGCTTCAAGTACGACATGTACACAAGTGCTTCACCAAATCAAGACCCAACTATCTTGGGTGTTGTTTATATCATTAGCATCATTAGCATGCTGCATTCCTGACACTGACCTTTCAAGGTGTCTCTCCTCTGAACTATCTCCCAGTAATCTGAGCACATCCAAACTTGTCTTCTAGTGCCCATCATACCTATGCCCTCCCTTTCCCTGAAATGAAGCTGGATATCAGGTGGTTCCTTTACTACTCAGAATATATATGACATTAGAGGATGAGCCCCAGAACTAAAATAGAGTATGTGGCAGCAAGAAAACCTTTCAGAACATTTTTTTCCAAACCTAAGTACAGCCAGGATATCATTCCCCCGGAGTGGTATGTCCTGAATCACACTGCCAGGCTTTTTTTCCACAGCAGTTTTGCACTCCGGCTCTATGTCTCTATGATAAGAGGCACCTTGGTTTGGCTTTTTCTTGTTTACAAATGTGCTGTAAAGGCTTATCTCGGTCTGTTTTGTTCCGTGACGCTTATTTGGGAGATTGTCTTGAAATCCACAGCTCCAACAGGATGGCTGCAAAGACCGCTGCTCGTTTAGTGGAAACAGAACACAGCGGAGACAGGATGCGCGAAGAGAAACTTAGGAGTTTGCTTTAAGAACAAAAGCTGTTTAAGAAGCTGTGAATTACTTCGGCCCCATTGTATTTGAAGCTTACTTTGAAGGGGGTTTTTTTACTTCTTTTTTTATTATTTTTTTAAACAGCCTGACATTTAAAACTGACTCAGAAAAACCTAAACTGGAAGGTTTAAGTGGATAGATCTTCCTCTGCAAATGGTACGTAAATCCAGAGCCAGAGTAGCTTTACAGTAAACCGCAGTGCTCTGAGAGGAAACAAATGCACTTGTCACATCATGAGTGCTACCAAGAAAACCTGGCTTATTTAGAGATAATTCAGTAATTATCTTTAAAACACCCCGTCCCTGATGACTAAAAGAATAGTAAAGAACAGAAAAGAATCTTCTTTGATTATCCCGAGTTTCTGTGTGAAAAGGGTGGCGCACAGAAACCCATTTTAACCAAAGTCTGGAATCTAAATTAACCTAATGGTAAATGCTTTTAAGCTAAATGCCATGTAGACTAAGGTAACCCTACTGAAATAGTAGAAATGCACTGACTCGTATCAGCTGAGAGTCTTGGCCGGATGCTTATCGCTATTGCTAACTATTGGAGGGGGAAGTAGTATAATGAGCTTGCAACCTTGTGCTGGACTGTAACCACTTAATCACCTTTCAACAAGTGATTTCTCGTTAAGGTGGTAATAGCAGATGGTCAGTGGGAGATGTGTAACAGGAATCTGAAAAACTCTTGCCGCTCTGCTAAAGGATAAGGGCAGAGCAATGATCTGCAAGGTGTAAGGCAATCAGATATTGTCACAAAAAAGCTTCACAGAGAAAAACACAAAAGGGCAGTAAGCTCAGCATGACAGAGAGAAAACTATATGGCACACCCCATTCCCTGCTGTCAGAAGAGAGGTTGTCCAAGCAGTGCAAAGAATTTTTATAATTAATTTTTAAAGAGGTCAATGGTAGAGTGAAAGCATTACGTGTGATACAGATGATATTGCCACCTCCTGTCAAGTGTATTACCATCATGTTTTCAATGCCGTCACTGCTGTGCTCAGCTATCTTACATTTTCCAGCACTCTGCCCTTGGCCCTGTCCTTGCATCCGAAGATGTTGCCCTTTGGAATGCCATTGTGCCTGGCTGTCTCTGTCCGTCTCCTGCTGCTAAATAAGTAAAGGTATGAAAAAATCAGTTGGTGGGGAGTGGTTATGCACCTAAGAGGGCATTAATCCAGCAAACTATGTTCCATGTGTGTGCAGTCAAGGATAAATTCGTACCCAAGGTACACATAAGAAGCGGTAACCCATAGCTTACTCCTCCTGGATCGGTGATCTCTTGGTGTGTAATGGCCTGTTTGTTTCTCAGCATGTGTGAGCATCCAGCATGCCTTACGTATGCCCACATACAACAGAACAGCAAATAACAGTATATCGTAAGAACCGTGTTTGCTTCCTCCTCTTTTTTAGCTGATTGTTTCCCATAAAAAGCAGGAAACACTTTTATTTGTCTAACGTATACTCTTAGATATTTATTGTCAAAAAGCAGTTTGGTATGAGTTAACTATAGTATGCAAATTATACCACTCATGCTCTAACTTCTTCAACATAGTGATATATATGTCTGCTTTTGCTAAAGTAATCAGGGAATTGCTACATCATCTCTTTAAAACAACCTGGAGACTTCTTATTGATGTATATTTTTTGTGCATAAAACTGCTAAAGAGAAACATATTGTCTCCTTAGGGGAAAAAAAAAACAAACTATTTCACCTAGGAATATAACGTTAGTTTTAAGTACAAAATTAGAATACGGGAAACTATTAAATTAAAGGATGAAGCTGTAATTCCATTTCTTCAGACCAGTTGTTATCGAAGAAACAAAGAAGTCATAGTCTGGCAGGTTGCTGGTCTGGCCAGCATGGTCCTCTGGTGTCAAAACCCAGGCCAGCAATGAGTCAACAGTTGCATCACTTGCTGTAGGGCTTAAAAAAAACCCTCCTCAAATGACATTAGGGTTGGGGATTTCACATAATAGGAAAAAAAAAATTACTGTGATTTCTATTTAAAAAACAAGGGATTTGAATTTATCTGAGGCCTTGAGCTTTATCTTGACAGCATTTGTACTACACATGAATCTGGCTAATTCACCTTAATGGGTGTCAGTTAACAAGCAAGTGCAAGAAAACGCACCAGAAGGGTCATTATCTGTGGTCAAATGGCTTTATCTCTGGCTACTTGGCCTTCCTAGTCAGCAATACAGGTCAAGGTCCTGCTGCTCCTGTACACCTGCATCAATGCTACGCTCACATAACTTCTGACTACATTTTTGTGTGGTGAAGGAAGTACAACATTCCCTTGGCTGCTGCAAAAAGGCTTTTCTGTATCAGTGTGGAATTGTCTAAAGGGTTTCTGCCATTCGTAAATATTCCAGAACAACTCCAAGTCAGTCAGGAAAGGAAAAGTGCTGAGAGAACTGTAGAAGGCGTTATTATCCTTACAGCGAGAGTGTGCCTGCAAATCCCGGTCACTTGACTCATGATCCAATAGGTACCTACACCGGCCAACTGCTCTCCTAAAGCTTGCTTTTGCCTGGCAGCAAGGGAGAATTCAGCTTCTTTCCAGAGAAGCTGTGACTTTTTTTTTAACTTTATTTTTGTTTTGAATTTCACATTGTCTAACTTAAAGCCTCCAGTTATTGAATCGTGCTATACCTTTGCCTTTCAGCTCCTAAGTGCTCCCTCTCATCCCAGCAGTACAATGCTTTTTCCCGTGTAAATAAGAGGGGATGTGATAGTTCTGGGTGATATAAACATCCCTCTGAAACGCTGCATAGCACGCGCAGGACTGTTCCTTGTTTATGCAGAAAAAATCCAGGTCCTAGCTGTTCTTCTCTCCACTTACATAGCAAAAGTAGCAGCTCAGGAGACACAGGAGGGCTCTGTCGGGCAGCAGTGCCAGACTTCATGTGCTGCTCATGGGCTTCAGCTTCAGGAATTCCACTCTGCAAAGGTGGCAAGTTTTGTGCGGGGCTGCTTACCAACAGTGGCCAAATAACATCCAACCATTACTTTTCCCTGTAGCGTTATGTTACGGCACATATTGAAGTAGTTATCTAACAGGATTCCCAAACTGCTCTTCAGGCAGAATTGACCAAATTA